TTAAAAAACTTGCTAGTATCACTTTGATTTTTTAAACTCAAGTAGGATAACTCTGTTCGCCAAAGGTGGCTTTGGCGAAGAGGGCGCCACCGAAAGATGTCCATCCATCAATGAATAATATATCCGCTGATCTCCGAGATCTCCCTTTTTCACACGTCTGAGTCTGTCTACCTCACTTACATCGAATATCTAATTTTGCAAAATATTTATGTGAATTATTGAATTCGAAAATGAAATAAATACTAAACAGCGCGTTAGTCAATATGCCTATAATGCAAGATTGCATCTTCTTGAACGTTTTATAAATACAAGATGCCGAAGTTTACTGAATGGATTCAGGCTCGAACCCCCCTCCTGGCCTTACTTAACCAAATGTCACCGAGGGTTCACGTAAAAAAAAAAAATGAAATCTAAGAAACCGGTATAATACATGTACTAAAGTCTTCATGTATTTTATTTTTCCGACCACAGGGCAATATTTAGAATTTTAAATTAAAAAAAAAAGTATTATTATTATTACTAGTAAAATTACCCGTTCTACGAACGGAATATAATGAAAAAGTATCAGGAAAGTTAAGAAGAGGAAAAAGACTGAAAACAGGAAAGAAACAAAACATAAATATTTTACCTTGAATTTATCCATGTAGCACCCCCACTTGACTACCTTTACTAAGCCTTTAGACTTTAGGGGTAAGACTTCTTCCCCCTCTTCGAATGCGTGGCATTTTCTCTTAAAGTTCCAGCTCAATCACTTTTTAAAAGAAGAGTTAGGCTTACTTGATTTTTTAAATCTTGATCTAGATTAGATATTAGATCTAGATCTACACATACATTCTATCTACACACGAACACACTGAACACAAAATATCTTTCGGCGCAATTCGACGTGCGCGCTAATCCACTGCAGGAGAAATCTACTTTCAATACTTTCATGATTTTTTATCTTGATCTAGATATTAAATCTAGACAAACACACACACACACACATGCGACTACACGCTGAACCTTTGACTTTGACCCATTAATACATTAAGTAGGCGTACCGTAGGCTACTCTTGGCGCTTTCGACAGCACCCTTCCTGCCACTCTCACCACCGTCCCTCTGTAGTGCTTTCTGGACTCCTCATCCTCTCTCTCTCTCTCTCTCTCTCTCTCTCTCTCTCTCTCTCTCTCTCTCTCTCTCTCTCTCTCTCTCTCTCTCTCTCTCTCTCTCTCTCTCTTTCTCACTCTCTCCCTAGGTAGGGTAACAAACGAAAAAGTCCCCACTTTGTAGCATGTATTACTACTTGATTTTTCTTCTTCTTCTCCTCCTTCTTCTTCTTCTTCTTCTTCTTCTTCTTCTTCTTCTTCTTCTTCTTCTTCTTCTTCTTCTTCTTCTTCTTCTTCTTCTTCTTCTTCTTCTTCTTCTTCTTCTTCTTCTTCTTCTTCTTCTTCTTCTTCTTCTCCTTCTCCTCCTCCTCCTTCTCCTTCTCCTTCTCCTTCTCCTTCTCCTTCTTCTCCTCCTCCTCATTCTTCTTCTTCTTCTTCTTCTTCTTCTTCTTCTTCTTCTTCTTCTTCTTCTTCTTCTTCTTCTTCTTCTTCTTCTTCTTCTTCTTCTTCTTCTTCTTCTTCTTCTTCTTCTTCTTCTTCATTTCTCCTCCTCCTCCATCTACACCTACACCTCCTCCTCCCCCCCCCTTCTGCTTCTTCTATGAACGCTCCAAACCCGCTGTGAGAAGACGGCCGAAAGCGTGAGACCGAAACCGGGAATTCCCGTAAAACTACTTAATGTATAACTGAACCACAGAATTCTACACTTAGAATGTAAGTGTAGAATTCTGTGAACTGAACACAAAATTATCCTTCGGCGCAGTCGGCACTCCGCAGTGAATATACAATGTCGAAGCAAATGAATGCGATCGCTACAAAAGGACTGAATTTAACTTAAAATTAGCTTTCTTCTTAAACATTTGATCTTAATGAAAATACAATAGTGCAACACTACGTTTCAAGTTATGGTTACTGGCAAAGTTTCATAATTTTTCTTTCAGCAGTTTCTGAGAATATACTGTTCGCAAAATTTGGCATTAGCTCCATTAGTAGTGAGATTATTATTATTATTATTATTATTATTATTATTATTATTATTATTATTATTATTATTATTATTATTATTATTATTATTATTATCATTATATTATTATTATTATCAGTGTATATTATATATATATAATGGGGGGGGGGGGTGGGACATTTTTTGTCCTTAACCCCCCCTCCCCCACCCCCCAATAAGTTCGGTGTGGAATTTAACGAAAAACGATGATCAAAGGCACACGAAATGTTATTTACAGATTCTAATGACACTCGAGCTTTAAAAGTCTCCAAACTTTGGCTGCTATTTTCTTTCTAACTACACATACCTCTGACAACAGGCGATCCCCACCCCCGTCGCCCACCTCCTTCAATCGCAAATAACTCGGATTCTTTTAAGAAATTCAAGGTAGATGGCTATTTTTTTCTCCAAAAGCAAAACCAAAAAAATAAAAAATAAAAAATGTATGTCTTTTTTTAAAGATGACACAAAAATAACTCCACATAGCCCACAATCGACGAGAGCCTGAAAACGTCGTACCGTGACACAACATGCCTTATCAATAATTTCGACTTTTCCCTTGGTATTGACTGGAAGAGCCCAAATCGAGGTGATGTTGGAACAAATTATGAGATCTTAATACACTCATTTACGGTACTAGGATATAAACTCCTCGCTGTTAAACTTTGTTATCATGTATGTTATCTAGTGCACGCCACCAATTTGATTTATTTGACTGAGTCTAGGCCAGCCAGGTGCTTCAGTCGCACATAGAAGACCTGAGTTTGATTCTCGTGTGGGGAGAATTTTAAATCGAGTATCTCCATCTTTCTTCTGCTGGGACGTTGTTGTATTCTTTGCAGTTGCAGCCTGGGTGGGCCCTGACTAGCAGGTTCGAAGCCCGCCTCCGAAATATAAAAAATATCATACATGTAATGTGTTAATGGGGTTGTAAAAAAAACAAAAAAACAACAACAACAACAAAAAACAAACAAAAACGGAGTTGCTAGCCGCTCGATCTGAGGTGGCTAGCGTTTTGCTACATGAACGTATTCGGTCGATTAGCCTGACGCTTCTGGCCCGAGGAGATTTCTGCGCATGTTCCGTGTTCTGGCCCGTGGGGGTTTCTCTCTCTCTCTCTCTCTCTCTCTCTCTCTCTCTCTC